ATGACTCATGGTTTTGTATTCTACGCCAGCATGGAAAATGAAGGGTTTGATTTGATATTTATAGTTCTCCTCTGAATTGCTCACAATTCGTAACTGACATATCATAGTTTGGATTGGCTGAGTTCTTTTAATTGAAATACTAGAATTAACATTTTTTTAAAAATCGGTGGTCATTTAGTGTTTTGACGATCTTAATTAATTGACCAGCGACTGGTCGTAAAAAGCCACAGCAAAAAAGGAACAGACCCCCGAAATGATTTCAAAGAACTTCAGAAAACAACTAATTTAACTAAAAAGCTAAAGCATGTGGTGTCTAGTCTCTTCTTGTTATCTTACAAAAGTTATGGAAGTTGTAAGTCTTTCTGGTTGGCTGCAAAAGTTATTTGAACAAGCTGTCAGGGAAGCTTATGTGCATTTTTGTTGGCTTCTGTATATAAAAGTGAATTCAAGAAATCTGTAAAGAAATCTTTTTCCTTTTTCTTAGAAACAAGCTGAGGTTACCATCATTTTCGTACAAGGTTTAAATTACCCCTGTGTTTTCTCACCTCCTTGCTCCAGTAGTAACTTTTCCCGCGCTTTTTGAGTCTGAGGCATTTATCCATATTTGGTGATGTAGACAATCAAATGCCAAATTTGGAACGAGTCAACAAATGGCGCGCTCTCCTTTATTTAGTTTTGTTTAATTTTGGTCTTTGTCCGTTTGCCTTCAGAGACGGTATACTGTGGTAATATTTATTATTCAAAATGTCAAACTTCTCGAAAAGTTTAGTAAATAACTTGCGAAATTTATACCATAGAATTTTTCCAACCAAGGAAATGGATGTGAATATTGTTATCAAGAGAAACCCCAGTGCGCGAGTCCAGGATAACTGATCTAGATAAGAGAGAGAACTCACTCGAATTTTACCTGAGGAACTGTTAAACTAGAGCCGTGATATTTCCAGTAGCATCAATCAAATGTTCTTCACTCCATGATGGATTCAACGGTAAGATTTCGCTTGTGTAGCTACTGAAAGTTGGCTTGAAGCATTTAACCGTGGACGGGTGCTTCTCGTTTTAATTTCAGGCCCTTGACTGAGCAAGTAACCCCGGTTTACATGTTTTATCCGATCTTGCAAACTAATCTTTTTTTGCGGTGTCTTATTTCCAGGGGTCAGGAAAGGAAGACCCGTCTAAGATTTCCGAGGATCCCGATGCAATTCTCGACAATTTTTTTTACGACTGTGACAGGGATAATACGGGTCGAGTTTCGGTGTCGAAACTTATCGAGTATCTCCGTAACGCAATTTCCAGCGGCACTGAGGAGGTAAACTTATTTAATGCTCTACCTTGTACTGTCTTTCACGTTGACTTCTAATTATTGGATGATAAGTTGATGGTAAGTTATTGCTTTTTACCTTGAAGTCAAAAATTTAAAATGAAAAAGCTTGCTTCGAGGTTCGTGCGTGCTTATCACACCTACACAAAAATGTCTTCCACGATGCGATTCAAGTTTCTTCAAGTGAACGTGGTTGCTTATTCGTGCTAATAGTGCATGCAGCCACCGTATGATACATTCGTAGACTACTTGTCAGGTTTTGCTGGACATAAGCAGGTCAGTTCTATTTGTTTATGAGCACTTTTGGCGTAAAAGTTTTAGCTCCGGCGGTGAGATCTTGTTTTAACCGTCCATTTGTTTACCTTCGGTAAATTTTATTTAGCATTTTCGTAGCTTGATAAACATGCGATAAAGAGATTAGCTGACTGCTTAACCCGAAAATATTGCCTTATAAAAACCTCATTATAATATTCTGTACTTGGTATGAAATATCTAGTTTTGAGATCGCCGCCACCAAATTAATATCTCGACATTCCATATCATCAATATATACATGTATGCGTGAACATATATTTATTTACATTTCAAAACGGGAGGTTGTCAGCAAAACGCACGCTGAATCCACTGTTTATGCAAGAAACAACGAAATTACTAATTACATGTATAATTCTCGTTAGCACAACATTACACTTTCGTTTTTAATTCGCTTACAGAGCTTTAATTTCCTGTGAAAACTTCAAATACTTCGACATTTAGAGGTTTGCAGATACATAACATGCAGCTGTACCAGTATCGTATAATAATGAAGTCATTTCAAGAAAAC